AAAGACTAGCTGTTACCCGCGACTTCGCTCGCTGGAATTTTGCAAGCAAACCCCATTTATATTCAGTATTTCAACAACCATAGTAATTTTTATATAACACCTACCGCTGAGAATCAAACGAACTATTTTCAATTTGATCAATTTTCTGGAACGTTTACAATCGTTCTATAATCGAACCGATATGCAATAACAAATTCGAATTTAAAACGGTTCGAACATTTGGTTAAAAAATCGAAATATATAAAAATACTTATAACAATGTCTGAAAGGTTATCAATTTAATACACTTAAGTACTCGATGAAAACTAAACGTAGTTGAAAAGAAAAAATCGTATCTAAAATAGTACAGTAGAAGCCGTTCTTCGGGTTAAGCCTTAATCCTCTTCCTCTCCTCCCGTGGATCCGGAAATTTCGAAAAATCCGGAATTTCGAAAAATCCCTTCTTTGTGTGCATTTTCATGACCTACTCTGTGTACAAAATTTCGCCTTTTTTAGGTTCAGCGGTTAGCTCTGCTGGGCGATGATGAATCAGTCAATCACTCAGTCAGTCAGTCAGGACAAGTAATTTTATATATTTAGATATACATAAATTTCTAATTTAATCATTTTCATAGTAGAATAATATAAATTTTTGTTAATTTTATATATCATTATTATTTAATAACTTATTAACTAAAGGAATAACAAACACATCATAAAACTCACAGAAATGACAATATTATGTACGCTAGAAAAATATTTCGAATATTTACAGTTGCTATGGTGACGTTTGTTTATAGAATAAATTTCGCCATCTCTCGTGAAAATTGTTTTCTGACTAAAATTTAAAATTATTTTTTATGGAATTCTGTCGATTTTATATAAATTTTAAACAATTACCTATTCAATTAAATAAATAAATAAATATGTTTATGTTTATAAATTTAATGAATTTGCAGCTATCAAAACGAATATTTAATAAATTAGTTTTTATCTCTATGTAACCAAATCATAAATAATCAGATAAGGAAATTTTAAAGACAAGATTTTTGATGTATTCATTTTTTTTATTATTACAGTTAATTAATACAATGTATGGTACAATTGCATATCTGAATGATGCTGTTGGGATCTTAACAGAGCTGTAGACCATTTCCACACGAGTAAAAATGCCAAAGGAATAATACCGCTACATGCGACCATTCACGAACCTTGAGGACTTGCCTGGATTATTCTTTGGTGGTACTCACGTCGGGTCAATAAACCCGAAAATTGGTTTATTAATGGGATATAAAATCGATAAATTAATTCAATTCAAAGAAGAAGCATGTTTTTCTACATTACAATATAAAATTTTCAAATTTAGTGAAATTAAATGTGATTAAAACAATTTTAAAAATTGTAATGTAGAAAAGGAAACGGCATCGGTGAAAAAACGGCGATACTTAAAATATAACTTACCGGTATTTGACAAATTTTTTGAATTATTACCGATAATATCTAACCGAATGAAGATTCAGTTAGTTATTATCAGTAATAATTCAACATTTTTAGTCATATATGTCATAATGACCCGCAAAGTATAGGCCTAACGGAAAAATTCACCTCAGCTCAAAAACAAACATAAGTTTACGTTTCAAGTATAGAAATAAGAATACCACTGAACAATAACTCATCTCTTGATAGATTTCTTTTTGTTTGAGGAGACAGATTTTTTGTAAATAAACGTTTTTTAAATTGAAAATAGCATCGGGGCATAATGACCTAATATGAGTCCATTATAACAGTTGTAAAATTTAACACATTATTGCTACTGTGAGATTATATTCATTTAGCTTATTTTAAACTTTTACTTCACATTTTATTTGAATAAAATCAGGTGAAAATGTCTTGAAATAAAAATATCGGGCATATTATGCTTTGAGTTTCGGAAAGGATATAACGCCGTACAAACAATAAAAACACTGTATAGTAGTACTATTCGTAGTCAGTGTTATGATTGGTGATGGTTTTGATGATAGTTCAATTACAAATGCTTTCATTATTACAGCAATAAATCTTAATTTAAATACATTGCAACATTACCTTAAATCAAATAAGAACTTCACAGCTTTCGGTTGCAGTTTGCATTAATCGCTATTTCTAGAGAAAGTAACGCTTCTGTTTATATAGTAACGCATTAGTGTCCGAGCAGATTGTTTAAACAATGTTGAAATGTCCGGCAAGCATGGTGTTAATCTGTCCGCTCTAAAAATTCAGTTTTAGTTTACATCACGAAGCCAAACGTAACAAGAGACTTGAAGAAATGTGACTATATATCAAATAGTGGCATATTTAGCAAATGGGACATATCTGTCTGGTGCCACACTGATAATGAAAAAATAATAATCAGACACGGGGTACACCAGTTCATCTTAAAAAACGACAGAATTTACAAAGTAATTGCATTAGTGAAGTACAGGATATTAGAAAACTGTTTGGCTATTATAGGTATTTATATTATAGGTTATAGGCATTGAAGATTTATATTTAATGTAGTTAAGTATACTTTAACATTTTTAAACCATATTTCATTAGTGAAGTAAAGATAATCTTTTTTATCTAAACAGTAATAAAATAAAAACTTAATGTTTTATGATAAAATATCTACAGTACATAATATTGCTGTTCCAGAACAATGACAAAAATTTATTAATTTCAGTTTTTATAATAAATATAAATTAAAATTTTTTGTAACTGAAGGATTATTTCTGAAACATGCTAAATTCAATTTTAAATTATTATTATATTTTAAATGTTACTTTGCCCTGATTTGCATATACAGTATACATCACTTATTTGGTCTATTTTTAATGTTATTATTATTTTATTGGATTAATAAACCTATGAAAAATAAATAAAATTTTAGCATATTTAAAAAAGTTTTATTAAATTTAATATTTTCTTTTATACACAGAATTCAATTATTTGAAACATGAGTTTTTATATGTTGCTGCTGTTAGTTTTGGCAGTGATTCACCAATTTTTATTTTATAATTCCATAAATTGAATTGTTTTAAGTCTTGTCTAATATGTGATAAACGTTGGAATTGAATAATTAATTATTTTATTACTACTTTTGACCTATACCTAATAATTGGATTTTTAACTAATCTATTGAACAAAGCTTTTTCTGATGGTAAAATGATATATACAATAGTAAATAATTTAAAATGAAACAGTGAAATTGTGAACTAACATTTTTCAATACTAGCAATATACAAAAATTAATATAGATAATGTTATGTAAGTGGTGCTGCAAATTTAAAATAATAATATTACAAACTAAGTAGAAAAATGCTAGGTCAAAAATTCACTGCCTACTTTTTATAATATATTTACTAATGATTAGTAAATAAATGGCAACAAAATATTTTCTATACATCTTATTTTAGAGTACATGTTACAAAACCAAAATTAAATTTCAAAATGACCTATCCTTTACATTTAGTTACTTTAACTGTACATATTTCACAATATATACAAATATATTTCACCCGCAAGTGGTTAAAACACCACATTCGATATTCATGATGTGTCCATGAGGACAATAAGGAAGACAAAAATGGCAGACTGCACACCAGTGCAGTCCTTTAACTGAATGAGATGATTTTTAAATATTACAGTAACCTTTATGAATCATTTTTTTGGCTTCTTGCTGCTTCCAAAGTGAAACCAGCCCGATCCTTTCTTTTTTGGTAGTCCGTGTCTGGCACTGGCTGATACTGCCACACTGGGATGAAGATTGGATGGCAAACTACCCGTTCTAGATTTTGGCTCTGGTGGATCTAACAAAAGTTCTGCAACTGCTGTATCTGGATGAGGACGTGAACCTTTTACTAATTTAGCTGTAAAAATAAGTTTTTCATTATTCAAATTATGATATAGAAATTAAACTAAAATACTAATTGATATGAATGATATTAAATGCAACTAAAAACAATCACGATAAAATATTTTATGCACTTAAAATAAACACATGGTATGAAGATGCAATATGGTCATTAATTACAAATTAACTGTTGCATTATGTAATAGAGTAACACATCAAAAAATTTCTCATGAAAGCACTTTCAAGTCATTAAAAATAAAAATAAAAAAAGAAACAATTCTATAGAATTGTTTTGAAAGTGTTCCTGTCAAGTACTTCCTTGAGAAAATCATTTTTTGTACAATTTTAAATATAATCTAGTCAATTAAATTTAACTTAAGACAGACAATACAGGAACATAAAAATAATTCAAATGTAAACTTGTTCATCAAATAAAAATAACATGTTCTTTTTAATTTGACTAGTTTTCTTTAACATGAACAGAACAATTTTTACAGCATTATATATGCTTCAAATTAAAACATTTCTTAATATAAAATATTTTAATAATTTTACTTCATTTTTATGAAATTAGTATTATAATATACTGTAACTATTAATTTGATTATTAATATAATTTTAAAATGAATCATTTTTTAAATATATAAATAAAGTTTACATTAATATATTAAAAATAGCATAATTATTATTAATAATTTTTATTATTTGTGGACTTACCTCTTGGTCTTTTTGGTTTAAATTTATTTATAACTGCTAACCTTGCTGCCTTTTTTGCTTCTTCAGTAACAACATAACCTAAAAATATTAGGTTATAATAAAATATTTATTATAATTTTGTAAAATCATATTAAAAAGTCATAATTTAAGAACTTCAAAACTAATAAAGCAATCATTTATTATTCATATATATTATAATAAGTGGATAATATTTTTCTTATTTGCTATTTCTACTCCTTTAGAAACCTGATATTGAATTCAATTCTATATATCAAAACACAGTACAAGTTATTTTCAAAGAAATTTATTTTTTATGTGTTTGATTATTATTATTACCTTAATATTTCAGTTAATTAATGCCAGTAAATATAATTTTTATTGTATTTATAAAATTCATTTCTTTTTAAATTTATTCAGAAATCCATTGTAAAAGGTTATAATTAATTCTAGATTTTTGCAAATAAAATGGTACTTAAAAACATGTTTCAGTTTGCATTTATATGATATTATCATTTCAAATTACCTAATTTTAATAAATTATTTTAATACAGTTTTATCTTCATCTTTCCTGTCAAAAAACAAAGGTCTAAACTTAGTCTTTTTAAAAGATAATGTTAAATTTCTGTGATTTTTCTAAAATTATTGAAACAATGTTTTTGTAATGTAAAAACATTCTATGAGATATCATTTTCTTCTAAGAATTGCTTTATCTCTGCAATTTTTCATAGATTAGAAATTATAAAATGTTTTTGTTTTTGGAGTATATGAATAATATAGCCTAATACTTTTCAAATTTCAAGCAGTCACATTAAATTACTTATCTACTTTTTGATTTCATATGACAATTGCTATTATTATTAAAAATTAAATCAATAAATAAACTGAATTGTTAACATTTGTTATTAAATCTTAATATGCCACATTTTATAAAGCTATTTTTCTATAATATATAAAAAACAGAATTATTATGTTTATTAATCAAATACAAAAACATATTTGGATTTTCTTCTATATTACATTTGATTCGTTACAATAAAATACATAACGATTCAAGTCACAGAAATTTTAAAAAATTAATAACTCACAAACTATTTACAGTAAGATAATGTGGTTTTCACAGAAATGCTTAGAAAGAAGTGGGATTTTTTTAGATGTAATAAAAATTTTAGTACCAAAATAGTTACATTTCTTGCCATAGATAGCACTGTAGCATTTGTAAATTTGTTAAAATAAAAATAAATAAATAAAAATGTTCTTAGTGTAAGCTCTAGTAACAACTATACAAATTATGTAATCTTATTAAGTGCCCTCTATGGCAAGGAATGTAAAAATTTTATTACACCTAAAAAAATCCTGCTTCTTTCTAAGCATTTCTGTGAAAACTGCATCATCTTACTGTAAATAGTTGCGAGTTATTAATTTTTTAAAATTTCTGTGACTTTTGTGTCACCCTGTATTTTAACCCTATGTTGATGTAATGGGGTCTTAAGACCTCATAAGCAGATTATTTGCTAATACACTTATCTTATTGCCCTTATTTACCTCCTACTTACATAAAAATGCCAAAATTAAATTATTAAAATATTTTTTCAGATTTATTATATTATACATAATTATGACAATTATACTTCATTTAATATTTCATTTTTGTTTAATAATCTTTTATTATTATGGGAATAAGTAATTTAGTACTTTAAGTTCTTTTTCAACTCTATTTCATCAAGTATTTTATACAATTTGAAAATTCTTAAAAAAATTAAATGCTGCTGAGATCTGAAATGTTTGATACAAAACAAAGTTTTGATGAAAATGCACTTTTTTAAAATCAATTCAGTATCCAGATAAAAAGCAGGGCTTATTTTGGTTTATTATTATTATTATTTTTTTTAATCATGGAGCTTATTGTTTCATTCCTGTAATAGTTTTAGTCTGTAATAAGACAAGCCTATAAAATTTCTTACATAATTTCCAAATGCATACAAAGTCATCATCATCTGAATGAACAAATCATCATGCAAAAGCTATTAAAAGAAATGTAAAGGAGAATCTAAGTTTATAGAAGGACTAAGTTTTTATGCTGTGTATTTTACTTTCCTGGACCTGGATTCACAAGCATCTCATAAGACATGACATTACAGTATTGGAGAGATACTAAGTTAGCTTACTAGAAACTAATAATATTTTATATTTGGCATTCACAAAACGTTTTAGCATTTACAACAAAACAAAAGAAATTGGTAATGATAGTATGTCTTACAACATCACTAGTGACTGCTTCTGTTTTAATAGAACCAATAAGAAGGTATATTTTAATGACTTGTTTTCAATAAGTTTGCATTTTTGGATGTCAAAAAGTCCATTAATTTCTGTCCGTGCTAAAAATAAAAATAATTGATCATCGCACTGACTTCAATTTTATTTCTATTAATCAATGCATTGCATCAAATTTATAATTGTATATGCTATGTTATGGTGTCAATAACACATGCTTAAAGCATTCTTCTAGTTGAAAATATAAGCTGGGTTATAATGGATTGTTAGCATTCTTTTAATCGAAAATATTTTTATGTTAACTTATCACTTTAGTGTTGCATGAAAAATTGTTTGATAGGCCTATTTAATTTTAAATTTTCCAAACTATGTAATAATAATTATTAATTGATTCATATATTATGACTTTATTTTGTTTGCAATAATTTTTGCAGAAATTTTGTGTATGTTTGGAAGAAATTTTAGATCCTGAAAATATTCTGCACCCCTTTTCATAATTTGCATTGCACTACATTATTTCTTTCTGCCTGCAACAGTTATACTTGGTCAACCATATTGTTAGCAAAGAAATCAACAAGATAGCCAAGGAGGAAAATTTCCTCACTTTTCCTGACTTTCTGTCACTAATCAAAATGCCTGATTTTCTAGATGGGTAGGAATTCTGCATATGTAAAAACTAAACTAATATCTTTATAATTTAGTAATTTAGACCAGGGCTTCTTAAACTTTTTTTATTCACGACCCTATTTATGATTGTGATTTTTTTCGCGACCCCCACCCGAAAAAATAATAAAGATATATACAAATTTGCAAAAACAATAATGGTGTACTACCACAGTTCACTCTTGTGTTACAATGGAACAGAGACAACTGAATACACTGAAAAGCAACAACACTACACTAGTTCACACTACAACCAGTGTTGCTGAATCATTGTCTTGCTTGCATCAGAAGTGACACAAAGTGCAACTCACGAAACATATGACACAAAGCATGCCATTTTCAAACTCTCACAAATTATTTTCAATACTTTGCATTAAAATCTCGTGACCCCAAGATTTTGCTAAGCAACCCCAAATGGGGTCAGGACCCATAGTTTAAGAAGCCCTGATTTAGACTAAATGTATATTACATACCTTGTAATTTGTCTTCCTTCACCCTTTTTCTTTCTTCTTTAAATGATTGTAACCACTGTTCTTTTTCACTAGGAGTCTTTGTATAGAATAGAAACCATTTTTCACGTGTTGCACAATACACTTTCCATGCATTTTTCACTGTTACACCAAACTGCAAATCTAAAATAACATAAAATGTAGCTAATATGAAACAACTTGTCTTTAAATTGTGAAATATTAAATGTCATTTAAGTATTTTTAATAAAAAAAAAAGTATTCAAATTGTACCTTTTCCATCTTCCAAATCAATTACACAACTATCATCTAAATCTATTCTTCCTTTATAAACATAAGTGTTACGTTTTAATAAATCCTATAAATGTAATAGTAATATATAATTAATATGATATAATTTCTAATTTAAAAATTTGTTCAATTAAAATATAAATTTTACCTTTTTACAATAAATAATTAGATGATCAAATAAAAACAGATGAATGAGATCACGAGACCAAGTTGAAGGAGCACGTGTTACTTCACCTGAATGAAGTAACATGGAACTGGTGTCCAATAAATCTGGTCCCTAAAAGTATGAATATGAATAATATTTTTACATAATCAGCATTAGATACATAATAATTATTCATTTAAATATGTATAGTCTTATATTTTTAATTAGTTTATAACTAACTGAATATGATAAAATTAAATTATCTTGAATTATCTCAAGAACTTTTGTAATGCAACTAAAATATTGCCAGATTAAACTTTCAAGATTTTATCTTCATAATTTAACAGCTTATTTTTTTAAAAAAAGTTTCTTCAAATATTGACATATATCATATCTTCAGAAAAAATTTCATATTTTGATACAATGTATGTGTAATAAATTCCAAATTTTATATCATACATTTGAGATATTTAATTTATCTCATTAAAAATTATTCTAAAAATTATAATCATAAATGTAGAATCTCATCTAAACAAAATTTCCAGCAACAAAACACTCAAAATCAGTATTCGAACACTTTCGGCCACTCCTTTATCGGCCTTCTTCAGGAAATAGAACAGTTATTTGCATTTTACATTTCCTGAAGAAGGCCAATAAAGGAGTGACCAAAAGCATTTTAATTCTGAATTTGAGTGTTTTTTGTTGCTGGAAATTTTGCATTTAGGTGGTGAGATTCTATAATATATATGTATCATTCCAGTTTGCTTGTGCTGTTGTGGTTTTTATATAATCATGAATTAACTCAGTTGCTATGATAACAATATAAACTTTGAAAAACATAAGAATTAAACAATATAAGATCATAAATTATTTGAATCTTATGAAAGATTTTCATTCTTTATGTAACATAAAGAATGAAAAGTTCAATTTATGTTCAAAACTAAAGCATCTTTGCACCTTCTAACAGGACCATAGTAAAAACAAAATTTGGTCCAGGCACTGTATTAAAAACTGATCTCTAAAACAACCCATTTAATTAAAGGAAAAAATAAAACAAAGTATTTTAGGTTAATTTAAATATAATATTATCATCATTATTAATGGCTTCTGTTAATATTATGCTTAAAATTTTATATAAAAAGACATTTCTGAAGGATTTCTAAATTATGCATTTCTTGTTTAACTCAACTAAACGATCACCATAATAAGGCTATAAATTTTCTATTATTAATGATTAGATATTAACTAATTTGATAATAGAGGTAGACGTTAAATGGTACCTCTTATCTAAATTAATAATTATAATCTTTAATAATTTATTAAATAATTTAGGACCATTTGGAAAAAAAGAACTAGCACAAAGCAGGACTTGAATCCGCAACTTCTGCTTATGCTGCAGTGCACTTTCTTTTCTTCCAGACAGTTCTAAATTATTCTAAATTATTAAAAATTATAATTATTAATTTAGATAAGAGATGGCACTAATGTCTACCTCTGATACCAAATTACTTAATATCTAATCATTAATAATAGCAGATTTGTAGCCCAACTAATTATGGTGATCATTTAGTTGAGTAGCAAGATATCAGACTTCAGGAAGTTTATTATATTCTTATATAACTCCAGCACTACATTAGCCAGTCCTGGAGGACAGCAGCCTCTCTGGTATCTGCCAGAATTGCCAGTCCAGCCCTGCCTTCCAAAAGATATTTTCTACAGTTTACCAAAACAAAATGAGTGATTCATCTAAAGAATTATTTGCATAACTTTAAAATGATTTATCACCTTAAAAATAGCATAAAACCCGAAAAACAGAAACTTTAAAATTTTTATTTAATATATTTATAAATCCTATGTAACATATAACTTATAAATGGCAATAGTTATTAGTCTATGCTATTAACTTTAATTCTGTTTGTATTTTTAAAATTTTTATAAATGTGTAATCAGTCACCTGTAATTATCACTTATACAAAACTTAGCTTTTAATAAAAAAAAAACAGTGATCAGCAATTAATTTTAAATTTATTGATTACATTTAATCATCTTTCAAATAATCAATTGTCTTAACTGGAAAAGGCATGCTAATAACATTATGACAGTTCAAAAAAAGCTGCAAATCACTTTCATCAATATCAAAAATATTTTTTATTTTTAATGAATNTTACATTACTTCTTATGGAAAAGGTTGGTTTGGTATACGTCCTATTCGGTATAAGTCCAAACACCAGGAACGGATTAAGGTCATATACCGAGGTTCCACTGTATATATATATATATATAAAAGTTTTAATTTGAACTTTTTGAATGTATGTAGAATTAGGAAAATATACTTTTATTTAAAATAAAGTATATTATGTTTAAATAAAATGTTTCATTGTGTTTAAATGTTTAAAATGTGAAAAAATGTTTAATTTAATTTTATCTATTTTAATGTAATTATCTACTTATTTAAAATATCCACTAATATAATTTATATTAAGTTCATTGTACAATACATTTATGAACAGTAAATACTAATTCAAAATTAATGTATATATGAAAAATAACTAACCTCCCAACCATCAATTGATTGCTGCCATTCTGTTAATCTTTCTAAACATTCCATCCTCCTTTTCCTTTCATTAACCAATTGAGCTACTTCTCTCATTGCTGCTAATGCTTTTGTTACAGGCTGAAAATCAGGATGATCTGTTTTGGTATACTTCAATAATTCAGCCAATTGCAATGGATATTTACAAATCTTCTGAACTGGTGTTAATAAGAAACCATCTAATGAGATATCTATCATTTCTTGTAATAGCCTACATGCCTAAATATAGAAATTCTTTGAATAAATAACTTATATTAAAATTTGAAATTCAAAATAATATTAGATTACAACTTACTAGGAGTAAGTAAAGTTAAATTGTTTAATACAAATATTTAACTTATAACCTTTAAATAAATTCTCCCATCATCATAAATGTTTTTAACAATAAACAAATATATATTTCTGATATTAAATATGTAAAACACAAATGTTGAAGCCAAAAAACTTTTATATTTAATTTCTAACCCATCAGGAAGTTCTCATTTTTATTAAAATGACATTTAATTTTTTATTTTTATGTTAATGTTCTTTCAAAAATGTCACAATTAATACACAAATTTTTTACAATTTCTTTGAATATTAAATTTTATTAATCCAAATCATATTTATATAAAAATGTATATTTTCAATTAAAAAGATAGACAGGCCATTTAAAGAGCTTTAGAAATGAATTTAAGAAACTAAATTAATTTTAAACACAAGATATGAATATCTATTGATAAATAAGTTCTCTTACCACAATATTCCACAAAGTGTAGAGTTAGAAACATAGAGCACAGAAACTATTTTTAGTAGACATGTCTCTAGTCTGTATGGTGTAAAGGCCTCAGTTTGTTGCATTACATTATTGCTTAACAGTTATGTTTAAAGATGAAATTATTTTCCTCATATCATGCAAAGCAACAATCAGTGACTAAATTTTTAGTGTTGAAGGTTGTGCTCAAGGGAAAAAGAAAATCAATTTGGTGAAGTATTGTGAAACTTTGCCCACATTCAAGAGATATATTGGTAGGCAAGATAATACATGATTGCACTACACCAAAGAAACAGTTAAGACCCTTAAGAACCTGAAGTTGTAGGTTATTCTGAACCATCCTTAAAGTCCAGATTTAGCATCATCAGCATTTTAGTTGTTCCAAAATTTAAAAGTTTTAAAAAAATTTATCATTTTAAATGGTTATTATGTTGGAAAATTAATATGTATGATTAAAATAAATAATATTGTTCTATACTTTAAAACTGGTCAGATTATTCTACCTCTTCCCAACTAATTTTATAAAAATAAAGATATTACTTGTCAATCAACCATTATATTTATAAATAAATTTTTTATCATAAATTAAAACAACTTGCCAATTCATATAATTAAAAATAACAAATTTAAATTAAAACAAAACTTGTTCTAGTTTTTATTTTTATGTAATTACAGAAATTTTATTCCTAATATGAATAATTCAATATTTCTGTTATTCTCAATGCATAAATAAGAGATGTAAAATAGAATTGCTGAATAGTTAAATAAGCCAGATCTTATTATTTAATACTATAAATAGCTTCCATATCAACACAGATAGTCAATAGTAGATAATTTAAGCCACCTAATTCTTTCTATATTATTTTCCAAAATATCATATTCATGTTTCTATTACAGTATTTTTTTAAATGAAATGTAAAAATTTAGAATGGAATGAAATTTTTCATTTGTTTGATCTGTATAGAGGAGGATGTAAATCTTTAATTATAAAAATATAGTATAATCCAAAAGTTTTAAAATTATTAAGAATTAGATATTCATGTGAATTTAAAATTCAAATTAAATTTCATTCCAAAAATAGAGATGATGAATCTAAAACTAAGACATTGATTATGTCTAAGAAACAATAATTCACAATTCTGTCATGTTTTGTTTACATAATTTACATCCTCCACATTTAAAATACATTTTTGTTATTTACATAACACAAAAACTGGAAAAATATACTATCCACTGTAGTAGTAAAAACATGCAAAATCTATGCCTTATCAGCATAAAAACTTTATATTAAAAACAAATGTTTTCACTCTGCTTAATGGATCATCCTCAAGTTATAATTTTAAATTATATTTGAAATGTGCCATGTAACACATTTCAAATATAGTATGCTTATCTTTTCTTGGAAAAATTTTATTTTTCATGATAGAAAAATAAAAAAGTCAAATGTATTTATAATAATTAACTAGATTTTATATAAAGCTCAGATTAAGTTATATACAGTAATAAAATTAATTAAATTCACAAATACTTTATTTGTGAATCTATTTATTACAAAAATTTATTTTTCTATCTTATTATTAAGCACCAATAAAAGATATTACTGTTGAAAATTACAGATATTCTGTAGAAATTAACATTTTTGTCAAAATATTGCTTTATAGGTTTGTTGATAAATCTAAATTTAATTTATTATTTATTTAACTTTTCATTTTATAAACTCATTACGACTGCTCTCTCTCTTTTTTTTTTTTAATCAATCTTACTTCTATTATTACTTCATATAAGATTTTTGTGTGTTATTTTTATTAAAAAATTGAACTAGGTTCATTTTATAAGATTTAAGAATTTAGTTTTCCAAAAATAAAACATGTATTTACTATTTCTATTCTAAATGAATATTTATGCTTATATTAAAATATATATATATATATATAGCAGACCCGCTTTACGACTGCTGTCTTTAGAATCACGACTCTTACCACTATTACACACTTTCTATTATGATGATACAAATTATCACATTTTTATCGTGGTTTTACATAGTTTAAGTTGTGTTTCTAGAAATATAATTTCAATTATGGCATTGATATGAGAAATGAAACGGCTCGCTTTACGACTTGTTTCCAGAAGCCAATTATGTCGTATAAACGGGTGTTTATTACATATATAAGTTTAAATTATAATAAATGTTCACTTTTCTCCGAAAATTTAATAAATTCAAATAAAAATTTTCGTAAAATTTTTCGGTTTCACCAATTTATAAGCACTTAAGATACTTCGAAAATTAAATATATTCGTTTTACTCATTGGTCGGAATTGAAATAACGTAAGCTAATAGGCGTGTTTATGGAAGTGGAATGTGTTGCAATCGATCAAATTTCTCCTTAGCTAATTATTTATTAATAAAGTCACGCCTTTTAGTAATTATTCTTATCTAAGAACCAATCAGCAATTGAACTGCAGATAATTTTTTAAGTAGTCAAATTGTATGTATAATTACTCAACCAAAAAAAATCCAACGCGAAAACCAATTTTGTTCAAGATTTTGATATTTTATAAAGCTGATATTAAATTATATTACACATTTTATATTATAAAATAATATTTAATACTTTTATTATAATAAAATACATTAATAGAACCTTAAATTTTTATGCTACGAGTGTTTTAGTTTCAAAAATGATTTAAAAAAAATTATATAGGCACCCCATAAAAGTATTAAAATGTAAAATGTATCTCTATATACCATACGAAATAACACAGTAAATTTTATTTAATGTGAAATAGCNTGATGCTACCAAAGTAACAGTTAATTTTTTAACATTATACAAGAATTGTACACGTTTTTTTCTACACTCCCTTAAAGATGGGATGTACGAAATCGTAATATCACTGGTTTAACATTGAAATCCATGAGTAATATATAATCGAAGAGCAGAATAAAAATATCAAATATTTTAATGGATTTTTTTAAACTCCTGTCCACTATATAGAACTATCATAAAAACATACCAGTAAATTCTTATCGGTTGGGTTAAGTTATAAATCTACTCGTGGTTCATGTAATCGGGTGAGGGCAGCCAAATATCTAGCGGGCAGATGGCTAACAGCCCAGAACCGGTCCTGAATAGAATTGGATGCAGTATATGTGTAGCATCCACCTGAGGTCCTAGGCTTCCACCAGGTAAACCTGGTGAGACTGGTGCTCTGTAAAGTGCATGTGCGAATCTGGCTTTTTGGATGCTGACAACACAGTGCTTCCACTCTGCCACTAATATTCGAATATACAATAGCAATCTTTTTTTTTTCCACGTGTAGTATAGAAATTTGTAATAAGATACATAATGAGGTTATAATAAAACATTGTGCGATTATTTTCATATAATTAAAATTACTATGTATTTTCACGGCACAATATTTCATGGATTACACAATGATGGCACGCATATGTAATATGTCAATATAATCATAACTTATATTGACATATTACTTTGATATATATATATATGTCAAAGTACAGTAGAGCATCGATTATCCGACTCAATTGGGGACTCAGGTTGGTCGGATAACTGAAAAAAATCGGAAAACCGAAAATAATGAAAAAAATACATTATTAGTATAGTATATTAGTATATCCCATGTAATTAGTATATTAGTATATCACTATTAACCAACTTCACGTTGAATTTTCATCGATGTTAAGCCTAACAAATTTTTTTTTTAAAATAATAATCATCGCTATTGTATCGTTAAAAATTATTTTTAAATTATTTTATTTGCTCACAAAACAAACAACCACTCATAATTAGAAAATTAAGTCTCGTTTAAATACTGGCCTCCCTTCAACGGCCGAGCTGTGTTGCCAGCTAAAATATGCAAAAATTTAACAAAAATAATATTAAAGTAGCCAAGATATAGCCAAATATTGTAGTGCCACATCACTAGCGAACATTTGAAATTTGCTGACTAGAATGGAAGGTTAATCAATGTGACGGTTAATCGGGGGGTTGGATAATCGATGCTCTACTGTGTGTATATATATATANAAAGCAAACAATAATATATATATATATTGTTTGCTTTAAGAAAGTTGCATCTCAAATTCCAAATTAATTATGTAATCTAAAAAACTTGCATAATTTTCAAGTTAACTGACTAATTTTATGTGATATCTCAATAAATACAATGAAAGCAAGCTATTTATATAATCTGAAATGAACTTTTTATGATTCCATTATTAATTTCCATGGATTTTTCTAAAATATAAACATTTTTTGACAAAATTTTTATACTTTATTTTGGATATTATTAAGTTATTCAGTTATAGGTAATTCAAAATAATTTATTAATTTATCTTAAATAATTTTTTTAATTCTAATTTTTCTATTTTAGTTTTATCATTATCATTAAAATAATAAATTTAATACAAAATAATAACAAGCAAATATAATTTTAAATTTTACTTACTTCAAAAAAATGAATATATTTTGAATCTGCATATAATTCTTGCAATTCACTAACAGCTAAAGGATGATTATTGCAATATTCTGAATAAATTTCAAATTCATCTTTCTATAAAAAAAAAATATATTACTTTATTTGCTTCCTTTGATAGCACAGCTATAATAATTCATAAAAAATAAATTATTATTCAAGAAACATATTTGTAGAATCTGTAGACTTAAATTGTATCATGTTTTTTATAAAAATGATAATCTAGTATGATATCTTTGAATAAAATATTATATTAATTCATTTTATTACAGACTATTACAGAGCTATAGGAAATTCAATTAAAAATTTTTAGTTTTAGCAAATAAGTTTAAGAAAATAATTTCTTAATAATATGAACTTACATGTTTGAGAAAGCAGTTTCCTATTTGACTAAGATGGGGTCGTTCCATATCAATACAAGATTCAAGATGTTTAAGAAAACCACTTTGAAAATGATATATTTCTTCTATATTACCAAAGATGGTTGCAATACATTCATCTGAAAACATGTCTGATCGACGGCGGACTTGTCTCAGATAACCCTAATGAACATTTCAAAAAATATATTAATATTTAATGTTAATCAAATTAGTAAGAAAGAAAAATATACACAATTTAGATATAATGTTAAATTTAAAATTCATAATTACCTCTACAACATCTTTAAGATGCTGTACAAAATCTTTTTCTGTGCTAACAATTTCCTTTACAACATTGGCTCTGACTTGTTCATTACTTAGTAAACTAACACTCATTTTTCGTGGCACTTGTTGCATTAAAGTTCCATTATTCATTTTGCTTATACAATCCTCTACTGTGTCTTCTTGATTTACCCTTAACTGTTGAAGGAAAAATAGATATTATATTATAATATAATATAAATATTTTCATTACAAAATTATATAAACTAATCTTAGAATTTTATATAACTGTCAAAAAAAATTANATTAAATATATATATATATATATATATTTGTAATTTATTATGACTATAAGCATATAAAATAAACAAATGAATGTCAAAAGAAAATAAGTAGAGTTTACTGAACCCTTTCTTAGCAGTTTCAAACAATTGTTAAAAATCACTTCACTTCTTTTTGATTTCATTAAACTTTTGAAAAATTAACAGGAAATAAAAAAGTTAAATGGAGAAGACCAGTAACCAAATTTAAAAATAACCAGAATAATGTCTCTTTTTTTTTAAAAGAAATTAATGTTCTTAATATATTCAAACGCTTTCATCATTTCTTTAATGACAAGCAATTAATTTTACTTCTGAGATTTTTAAAATTTAAATTATAATTCTTCAAAAATATTTTTAAACTAAAAAATTTTTGTACCTAAATGAATACATTATTGACATAACATCTAAAACATTGATGTTTTTTAGATAATAATTAAATAGATGTAAATTTCATTCATTTCATGTTACTACTATTCACATACTACAATTAAAATAATTTTAAAAAATCTTTTATAGTTTCTTATTGTTTAATTCCAGAAAGGATTTTTTCAAGAAATACCATTAATTACAACTAGATTTGCAGTTCAAATGGGTTGGGAGCATATAACCTGAAGCTCAAATTCTAAAAAACTTTTAACTTTGAACTTTTAAATTTTACATATACATTTAACCTATACAAACAACTTATATATAATCGTTATAAATTTAAAAACTAATAATTTCAAATCAAACATTAACCTTTGCATATGTTAGGTTTTTTCCCCTAATAGTCATTATGTTGCACATTTAAAATTTTTGTAGTTTTCTTTTATATTGACTTGTTTTTATTAACATCTTCCACTTTTAGATCATCCTAAAGAGTAATGCCAATATTTGCATAAAAAATTTTTCCTCAAAATATCTATATTAAATTATTTTCACTTTTAATTTTTGAATCAAGATTATATTTTATAGTTAATTAAATCATGTTAATAAACTAAATAAATCACTAATTTTGTTTATATTACTCTAATAATAATCCATATAATTTGTGACAAATATTTAGATAAGACTTTCTGAAATTAATTTTTATAATGAATATTGTATATTCTGAACTCGAGTTCTGCCATGTATATAATGCATATAATAAAAAATATATAACATATTTACTTCTTTAAGAATTGTATTGAAATTGCTATTACTTTGATACTAATGCTACATACATTTATCCAATAAAAAAAAAAGTACCATAAACTATAATCTTTATTTTCACTTTCAATCTTTAAATCATATTTGTAGAATTCACTTTTTTTCAAATTTTGATTTGAATTCATTTGTTTTTGTATTTATTCAATAATTTAGTAGCATTTTTCATTTTAAATGAATGATTATTGTCCCATTTAAATATTATGCAAATATTGAAATTATTAAAATTTGACAATTGAATAATAGAATAATATAACAAGTTTTAACAGAGATAACTGTATTTAAATTCTCTGAAAGCTGAAATAAATTTCTAGGTTTTCTCCATCTAACAAAGTTTAAAGTTCAATATAAAAATATCACTGACTTATTTTATTATTTTAATTTTAATGACATCTAAATAAATAAATAAATATACATATATAGGTTTTACTCTATATATAGAGTAAAACCTAAGTAAATTGGAATCGCATAGTCCTGAAGTATTTTTTCCATTTTGGCAGGTTTCCATTTTGAACAGATTTTAGTATTTTATTTTATTTATTCAGTTTTTTAAGTCTTTAAACTACACAGATAAATGTCATACGGTTACATTCATTTTTATAGTAAAAATCACTTTTACATAAGTAAAAAAATTTATTACTAGGCTTAAATCTAAATTAATCTAAAGTGATTGCAACTAAAGATGGGAATGCAAGAATTGAGAACTATTCGATTACAAAAAGTTCTCATTGTTCCCAAGAACTTGTATTAGGTATTAGAATACCTCTTTGATATGATCCTTGAGCTAATATGACAGCAAACAAGCTAATTTGAATACCAAAAACTAATGTTCCACTCTCCCATTAAAAATTTTAATTGCATTACAGTAACATTGGATAACCGGATTACAGAGATCAAGTTCCCCTGTGATCTGGCTTTAAGATATTTTAATACCCTAAATTAATAATTTAAGTCAATTTCTGTAATTAAGCAACATATTAATCAACATGTTTTTGACTATTCTGTACTATTTAGTTACTAACTACTCTATACAAGACAAATTGGCAGCACTGTGTTACTGCTTATTCATGAAAATGATGAGACTTTGTTATTGAGAACTATGTTCTTGGAAATTCATTTAATACTTGGAAATTCTAGATTCTTACAAGTATTCAATTCTGTCCCGATTAATTCCAACAAAGACTAATATTAACAAAAGATTTTGTGCTTATATGTCCCTTGTCATGTGACCTTTGTTTTTCTGACATGGTTTGAAATTATTCTCAGAATACAAGGTCTGTTCAAAAAGTATCGGACCTTATTTTTTTCCGCGTAAACCAATGATGCGCGAGAGGCCTCATTCGGTGGAGTTGTGGAGGGGACAGTCATGCACAGCCCTGAATTTTTTCCCGCCTGCAGGAAGCATCAGTCGTTGGCAATCGGCCTATGAGTGACTCCTTTAGTGGAGTTGTGGAGGGGACAGTCATGCACAGCCCTGAATTTTTTCCCGCCTGCAGGAAGCATCAGTCGTTGGCAATCGGCCTATGAGTGAGGTCATGTAGTGTGCTCTCGTCGGATTCCACTAAGCTGGAAAATGACTGAACAATGTGAGCAGCGATATTACATCAAATTTTGCCAAAAACCTTGGCGATACCCAAGCGTAAACCATTCGCAAGATTCAGCAGTCTTTCGGGGACGATCCTCGAGGCCAAAAAAAGCGCGGCAGGTCCGCAGCAATATCAAAGGTCATGTTGACAGTTTTTTCGACTCTCGTGGGATGGTGTGTCGTGAGTACACACCACAAGGCCAAACCATCGCAAAGGAGTACTACCAGGAGGTCCTTCGTCGTCTTTCCGATGCTGTGTGACGCAAACGACTGGATCTGTGGTCGATGAAATCTTGGCAGCTCCATCGTGATAATGCATCCGCCCATTCTGCGCATCTCATTCGGGCTTTCGTCGCCAACACAACACTCTTGTTGTTCGTCACGCTTCGTACTCTCCCGACATGGCTCCGTGTGACTTTTGGCTATTTTCCAAGCTGAAAATGCCACTAAAAGGAACCCGAATTTAGTCAAGAGAAGACATCATGCAAAATCTGATGGACCGGCTGATGGCCATTCCAAAAGATGCATTCCAGCAGTGTTTCCAGCAATGGCAGGAACGCTGGGAGAAGTGTATACACTACCAAGGAAACTACTTTGAAGGGGATTAGGGTTTTGTACATCAAAATCAATAAATTTATTTTTGCCGACCAAAGGTCTGATACTTTTTGAACACACCTTGTAAAGTTTTTGTACCCATGATGGTCATTACACTTGTAGACAAATAAGAAAAATTGCCTCCAAGTGGAATCTTAATTTTCTGCTTATCCATATTAAGTTACATTCTTGGTACCCAAAAATCTTCCATTGGACAGGTTTCTGGCTTATAATAAGATTTAACCTAGCAAATGGCTCCATTCTAAAATTTTTTTTTTTTTTGTTTATGCAGGTTTCTGTTTTATTCAGGTTCTAGTTTAGCTAAGTTTCATTGTATATACATAGAAATCTCATAATGAAGAACACACAAATACACCCAAAATCAATAAAATAATTTAATGATACAAACATTTCCACCTATTACTCACAATCATCATCAGGTATATATTAATGAATACCTTATGATGTTTGTGGGTAACAGGTAAAAACATTCTTATCATTAAATAATTTTACTGGTTTTGGGTATATTGTGTGCTTTTTTCATTACATACAATCAGTTTTTGAAGAAGTGAAAGAAATCTCATAAATTAATCAAATTGATTTTTAAAATAAAATAACTGTTTGAACAATTGCATGTGATTATAATGCTGTATTTATATTCAGCAATTTTAGTTATAAGCATTATTAATTAAACTCTTTTGATCTTCATAAATGAAGAATTTAAAATTTATTAATAGTATCTAAACCAGACCTAATATAGATGTTAAAGCATTTATTCTATTGGAATATTTTTTGAACGATAAAACTATTAATCATATAAAAGATGATAATAAAAGTAAATACCTATAATTTTAATACATATTGTAATATTTATTTACTTACCCTCACAAATGCTGCTGGAAACCAACCACTTCTAGTCCCAATAGATCCCCACCACCAATCTTTATCACTAGAATCTGTAACTTCAATAACTTCGCCTGCCTGGAATGCTAATTCTTCAGCATCAATTGTAACATGATCCCATAAAGCTTCAGCATATGTTATACCATCATCACTAAACTAACAAATAAATAAATGATTATTTTATTTTTCCTTGCAAAGCTATTTTTAAAATTTACATTAAATAATATTTTTTATTATATTAAAATGCCTTACTTCTCTAAATAATGTTTGATTTCTGGAGGATATGTGAGAGTCTTCTCCATCTGATGAGAAATCATCTTCTGAAGATGCAGTGCTGATATCACGCGATCCTTCATGATCAGAGAACCCAACTACAGAAAAATCAGAACAAGAGTCTCAAAATTTTTTCAAAAGTCAAAAGAAGTTTGAATATTAATTTAATAGTAATTATGAAAATAAAAAAGTACTAGTATTACATTAATTCAAAGACTGAATTTTTGTATGATCCTATTAGTACATATTTATTTATTTATTTAGACATACTAGGATATTAGTGCATATTTCTGTTTGAATAAAAAATGTTAATAAAAGTTTAGTTTGATTACTTTCCAAAATAAACAATAGAATAGTTTAAAATATTGTAACTTCATGCATATAAAATAATTTTCTTTCTGGTCAAATCATTGAAATTATATGAAAAATATATACATATGCAGAAAATTTAGACAGTTGAAAATGAATTTCATGAGTATTTTAAAAATTTTTAACTAAGTTTCAGAGAATAAAATTTGAATTATAAAAATTGTATATACAGTAATACCCCAAACTTACATGATAGGTGGGACCAAGCAATAACAGCGTAAGTCGAATTCGTCGAGGTATAATTTTGCAATTTATGTAAAATCCAAATCGGATGTATGTAAGCTAATAAATGTTCTCGTTAATCTTATCTCGTCTTTTGATTCATTCATGGTTACAAGAAATCACCATGTAGTGTCTCTCAAGTCTCCATAGATATAACAAACACAGAAATAAATAACACAAAATAAATTGTAGCTATGTGTCAATTCCGCGCGACACGTCCGAAGATGTAAGCTGAACAATAGTGTGGGGAGAGTGAGTAATCAAGAGTTGCGTGGCGCTCAAACAAAAGACGAATTGACGAGATTTGAAAATCGTGTAACTCCGGGTTCGTGTAAGTCAAGGTATTACTGTATTTAATTATGCAGATTTTCAAGCAGATGAAATCACAAGTAATTAATATAACATAATAAAAAAAATTTAAATGGTAAAACTGATTTTAATTGTAATTTAAATATAAAATAGTTACTTAAAATGATTTAACAAAAATAATATTTTAACATACTATTTCAAAAGTTGACAGTGAATTTTATTCATTCTTTCATATTTAAATTTATTAGAACTAATATTCATTTTAATAAATATTAAAAGCACTGCAGTATCAAAAACAATGGCATATCATATTCATCTTATAAAATTTTATTTAAGTTAACATAAAACATTTTCAATTTACAAATCACTTTTACATCATTAAATAACTATAATATAATTTTGAACAAAGAAAAAAAATTATATTTTGAACTTTTTAAGTTATTAAGATCAATACAGATATGTTAACTTAATTAACCTGTAACTTTATGGGCTGTATTTGATTTAAAATATAAAATGGAAAAATTATACAACAATTATTAATGATGATGATAAGGAATAAATATAGAAAATATTTCCTAAAAATAATAAATAGCATTCAATGAGTATAATCAATCTTTTTCTGATTTAATACAGACCAAACATCTCATAAAAAATTTCCACTAGCAATACTCTTCTTGAATTTCAATTCTGAAATGTTCATTATAAAGGAAAATATAACCTTTGTTTCTTATGCAAGAACAGTTTTTTGTATTAAAATCAGAAAATGGAAAAACTTGAACTTCCTAATAAATATATTTTAAGAGTGAAAAATCTCAAACTTGTTCTTAATTAATTAACCTTTAGTGTCTAGAAAAACAGCAAATGAACAAGTTTTAATTGGAATTTAAGATTTTTGTTTTTTCTTTTATTCTCTGTTTAAATTGATGAGAAAATTTCAAATAAACTGGACTCTAAATAAAAATTATTTACCATAAACGAAAACATTTAGTTATTTGATCTTGTAATTTGTATTTTAATTATTTTTCTAATTATAAGATATATTCATTATATAAAAACAATAACTTTTGATTCAAATAAATATTACTATACTAATACTAAATATCATCTATTAATAAGATTTTATACATTTCATTATATGAACATACCTATAGTTCTAGTACTAAGTCCTACTTTTTCCAAATCTAATGGCTGACTGATTGATCGGTGTAATCTTGAATGGCCTCTGCGTTTTATTGGTCGTGACCTGTCAGTTCTCATTTTAATAAATGAAGGAGTAGATAATTGCTAAAATTAAAATCAAATTCAAAAGAAAATATTAGAGATTTATATAATATTTAGCATGAATAAATAACAACAACAACAACAACAACAACAGTCATTTTTTAGATTTATTTATAAACAGATGTATTTGTTGTTTTATAAATAAAACAACAAATAACTAAACAGAAATTAAAATATAAGTTATCTCATTTTGTTGATTATTATCACATCAAAACTAAAGTAATAAATTATATTTTAAAATATAGATTTATATAATTTTTAATTTAAAAAACTACAGATGACAATACACTGTTAATAGTTACTAGTATATACTGTGTATATTCTTTTCATTTTCAAGAATGAAAAATTTGAATAAAGATTGAATAAAATATCAAAATACAATTAGCTTTGCAAGACAATTGTGAGAACTCACTCTTTCAACACTAGGAGTTTTTTTCAATGGTGTTCCAGAATCAGAAGAATGTCTTTTCAATTCAGGAAGATTATCTCTCTGTCTTGACATCTGAGCCTATTACAATATTAAAATGATTTGTTTTAAAAATAATATTTTCTAAAAAATTAATCAGATAGTTTTCTTATCATAACATATAAAATATATATTTTGTACTATATTTATGTATAATGAATATAGTAACAGATAAGAATTTAGAAGTTTAAAATACTTTTTTAATTAATTGTTCCATTACTGGTTTATGTGGATTTTTAAAAATATTTTCAAAAAATAAATGACTCATCCTAGAAAATAAAACTTTTGAAGCCATCAATATATATTTTATTATTTTCAAAGAATTTTCTTTATTAACAATTCTTATTTATTGATTTAATATTTCAAAAATTAATCTAATTTAGTATTTATTCTTTAATAAATACAATTAAATAAATTTAAAAATATGCATCATCATCTTTATAATAATAAAACATACTGTATACTAACAAATATAGCATATTTAAATTAGAAAAAATTTAAAATAAGAAAACAGAAGAAAAACAATAAAAAAAACAATAAATTATATTCTATGTATTACTGATTTTTCTGACTTCATAAATTTGCAAGATATTCTCTTTTACTTAAATATTTGCTTATATACTAATTACATGAAATATTAATGAAAAATTAATAATAATGACAAAATGAACTAGTTTTATGAAGGGGAAAAAACCTACATATATGTATTATTTGGATTAGACCACAAACACAAAGAATAAAAAAATAGTTTTTGTTCAAGTTTTTATTGTGATATAGAACAACATATATCATTATTAAAATCTATTCATAACTATACAAAAGAATAATAAATTTATTTAATTAAAATACTTTAAAAAGAAAAAAATAATAATAATACTGATTGTCAAGAGAGTTAACAAATAAAAAAATATATCCTGATAAACATAATAAATATACATAAACAAATAGCTGAATTATCAATATTTCAAATAAGAAAGAAAAAATAGACATTTAGATATGGAGGACTGTTACAATACAAATTCAATATCTGCTCTAGAACAAGAAAAAATCTTTTAAATTTAATTTATAACAATATGCCATTTTTCAAATTATGAATGCAAATATAGCAAGAATAATTCTGGAATGGAACATATATATATACACAAAGAATAAAAAACATGAACAAATAATTATTGAAATTATAAAAGTTAATTGCAGCATTGGATTGCAAATGGTAAATTCTGGTTCATTCTATATTTTATGAATTTTAATGTGTAATATCCATAACTTTTTATTATCAGAATATTTCAGAAATGTAATGTAAAATAGTTACTATCAATACTAATATAAGCAAATTTAATTATATAAATGAATATTATAAAGCATAACATATGCTTATTTAGAAAATTCAGTCAAATTAAATATCCATATATGATGATTGCAATGAAAAATATTTTATTTTATTCTAAAGTTACCAATCAAACATTATATTAAAGCAATATTTAAAAACTGTAAATTTTATTTAAAATTAAAATATAATTATTAACTTAAGCTCTATGAATTTAATACCTAAATAACATATTGAATTTTAAAAAATTTAAGTATTCTATTCATTTAAAAGTTTATATCTTAAATTATATTATTATTAATTTTAATTACCATGAATGCTTCAACAACACTAGAATTTCCATTTAAAGAACTTCCAACATCTGAATGTGGTCTTGGAGGTGGTTTTGTTTTGGGTGAAGATTCTGACGTAGAAGCTGCTCTTCTCCTAATTAGTGCTGGACTTTCTCCTAGTTGTGAATTCTTCAATAGCAATAATAAGATTAATTTAACAATGAAATAAAATATTTCTTTTATCTTAAAATTTTAATACATTTTTATAAAATAATTTTAGTTTAAATTCAAATATAATCTATTTTAAAATTATTTAAAGTTTTTAATATACTTTTGTTTCTTAAGTTTTATATATTAAAATTTTACTCAACTCACCATTCATAGAGAAAGTAAAGAGTACAAAACTAAGTATAAATTATAAAAAAATAAAAATAAAAAAATTATAAACTAAAAATTATTTTAATCATTCAGATTTGTTTTAAAATAAAATTTAGCATAAAGAAAAATATTAAAAAATAAAATGAAAATAAAAACAAAGAAATTGTGCATTTTTTATTGAAAATTTCCCATACATAATAAAACATATAAAAACATTTCTGAAATAAATCATAAAAACAAAAATATCATAAATGAAAAATAAATAAAAAATTTGCATTTTGATAATTTCAATATCATTTCTTTTAATACATACCTCAAGAAAAACTTCATTGTTGGAAACCATTTCTATCTGTATACCACTATCTGCGCTATAGCATTTAGAATCAGTTTTTCTTGATTTTCTGTCCTTTCTTTTATCCTTTGAGGATCTTAGGACAACAGAACCCAATCGAAAAAGACTTCCTGTTTCAGATGTGTTTGGCTCACTATATGTTTTGCGTAAATGTTTTGAAACTAATGGACTAACTGCTGTTTCATTAGAACTGTTTTGAGAACAAAACTGAGATTCATGATTTTCTGATAAACTATCAAAACATGTTTGCTGTTCCAGTTTTTTTGCTCTCTGGAACCGGAGTGAAAAAGTTTTACAAAATTTCTGTAGAACACCATCAGACAATTTAGGACTAGATGTCTGTATGGAATTACAGCTACTGGTTATAACTGGAGAAGCCTCACCGGATGACAAGTCAACATGAGAACTGTCACAATCAGATTTGAATTTATGAATATTTAAAGTGCTACTAGACGGTGAATTGTTTTGAAGAATTTCCTCGGCTGCTTCTTCATTATATAATTCGGACCATGGACGGTGTATGTCTTTTGCAGATGAACTCAATTCATTAATAGTTTGAAATTCTGGTGAACTTGTTGTTTTCAACTGCCTTTCTGAACGAGAAATTAGCCTGTTTCTTATAAGATGAACATGTAAAGATTGATGTTCTTTAAACCTGTCATTTTGTTCACTACAAAGTTCTTCATTTTCTTCTGTAATTTTAGTTTCATCATTACCATTAGTGGATAGTGAATTTTCATCAATTGAAGTAGAACTTGATCTTGAATGATCAACACCCATTTTTATTTCAGAAAAATTTTCAAATTTATCTTCTGTTTCACATATTAATTCTGTTAAATTATTACTTTCTTCAGATTTATTATCCAAATCCTAAAAAAATATTTCATAATAAAATTTAGAATTCAATTAAAATTACTGAAATTTTATTTTTAATTAAAAAAATTATGAAGAAATTAAAATTAATTATTTAAAAATTATATTTAAGTTAATGGGTTAGTAAGATTTTTTAAACTCTTTTTGGTCTTTGGACATTTAAGAGAGATCTTTTTCATATCTATATTATTATTTAGCTAGATTCACAATGGAATGGAGGCTTGATGGCGAGAGATGAACCAGACATATCCTAACATACCAAGAACAAACCACTCTTGAACATTTCTGAAGATGCAATTAAACTTGAACCCCAGGATATCTCCCACAATGGAATACTGATGCCTTTACTTGCTTGGACTATCCAGCCATAAATATATTAAATAATCATAGAAAGATATCTTACATCATTCACAGAAAGATATCTTAGCATTAGTTAAATAATGTAAATTATTCATTATTATTACATTGGATCATTGTGGTGATAAAATAAAATTCAAATCTCATTATAAAGAATAAACTAATAATCAGTAATTAAAATTTTCATATCAAAACATTAATATGGAATCTAATAAGAATGTTTCATTGATATGTATAAAAAAAAAAGGAAAAATCATCAAAATATTGATTTTAAAAATTCCAAAATAAACTTTTAGTTTATTTAAAACACATTAAAAATGAAAATGTAAATTCAATTGAAAGCTGTCATATATAAAGATTTTGTATGAAAATAAATCTCAAAATTTCTAGTAAAACTGAAAGCAAAAATTCTAATAGAAAAAAAATGGCTTTACATTATCCTATTAAAAATTATTATTATTATTATTACTAGCATACAGTGTTAGCAAAAAAAATTCATTCAGGTATTACATACTAATGACTAATTTAACTTTTTAATTTGCAATTCAGTTTGCATGTCGCTTTTGTAACCATAAAAATTAGCATCACTTTTGCTACAACCAATGATTCAAGCTTGATTACTCATCAAAGATCTTTTGAATATTTATAGAATACTAAAATTATAATTATTTTCATTATTATTACAATATAAAATAAGCACCTACAGATGTACAGTATTAGCTAATGCCAAGTAGTTGCTATATATTAAAATTACAAGTTGTCATTGATACTTTATTTACAAGTTGTACTGTATATTTTATATTGAAGATTTCAGTGAAATTTTATCTATGTTCTTAGAAAAACCAAACACACTTATTTTGTTCTCTGAGTATTTTTTTCTATAAGTTCTATAGAATACTTTGTTAAAAAATACAAGAGTACTTCTTGAAAATAAATATCAGAGATAATGTATAATGACAATAATGAAATTACAAATTTTTATATTTTGTTAGTGAAATATATTTATGAAATATTTTTGATGACTTCATAATTAATGAAATCATTAACTGTGAAGTTTCAATAAACATATCAAATTCTAAATTTGTAAATACTTTTTCTTACATAAATACTGCTAAAAGTAGGTCTACTTGTAACTGAATATCTTTTGCAATTATTAAAATTCAGACTCTGCTAGCTTTAGTCAGATAATATCCAATATAATTATTATGAATAATACAGCTATATAAATTATGCAATTAATGAAGTAAAGTTGAAACATAATATTTTTAAGAACAAATTTAATGTCTTCCTTTGTTTATAGCTAAGATCTTTCAATTAAATAAATTTATTGATCTTTCAAATGAATATTTAAAACCAACAAATTGTTAAAAAAAAAAGTATGATTTTGAAGCTACAAAATATGATTCTATAAACTGCTAATATATTTTTAATTGTGATATTAAAAATCTGAACTATGTAAATTATTATAAATTTATAGTACAATAAAAGTACTACATAAAATATTTTCATATTTACAGAATAAATTATCAATTTTATTTCGTATATAATGTGCAAGTTAAACTTCATAACGGTAGAGCAGTAAACAACAAAATTTATAAAGTTTCCACGATAAAAAATATGCAAGTATCAGAATTATTTCTCTAAATATTTAAATTTAGATTTAAATATTTATAGTTTATCTATTCTTGTCTTTGCTTTATTTCCAAATGAATTTAACAAAACCAAATCATGTTTTATTAACCTGCAAATAAATAATTTCTGTTATCTTTTCAAGACAGAAAAGGAAAATGAAATCCTTGAAATACTAAATCTCCTTGAATTTTGCAATTTATTCTAGTAAATATACATTCGGGTGACACATTTAGTGCTGTGAATAAAATATCATGTTTTGACCATCAAACATAAACTTTCCTATTTAGAAAGATTCTAAAATTTCCTTATTACATTTTAACAAAACATTACCAAAATTAAAAATAATGCAAAATTTTAATTTTGTTATATATGAATAAAATTAGGCCATTGCCAAATGGATATTTTTGTAAATTATTTCTTTAAAAGGAAAGTATTTTAACTAATAATACATTGTTATGAAGAAAACAAGAAAATAAATATTTCAAATTAACTTATTCCAAATTTTTAATATAGCCATTCACCAAAAACTTTCAATGAATTTATCACTACACAAAAACAATTTGTTTATTAAGAATTTCAATAGATCATATTATTAATGTATATATTTTATACAAAATATCCAAAATTCTATTCTAAAATAACATTCACATATTATTCTTTAAACATTCCACAATTATTTATTACAAATATTTAATTTTCAAAAACAAAAGTTGTCATTAAAATATTAAAAACCATCCATTTTTTTGACCTAATTTCACAATAAACTTTTCTTAGTATATTTATAAATATTTCATATATTACCAGCAATGTAACTACAAATTTTAATTCCTTAACCAAAATAATGGTAAAGGGACTTCCAATGCTTAGGGCCTAGCTCTCCCACTTTCATTGTATTATGCTATAAAAAAGTAAAGATAAAAAATTACAAAAATAATCACAGCAATTGCATAAGCCAATATTTTGGTTAAATAACATCTAAATAGGGATTAGTGTCCCATAGAAAATCCTCCCAGGAGACATCCTCCTTGTTAAATTGTTCAAGTGTTGCATTGCCATATCTCATCAAACCAAAAATAATTAGAACAAAAAATATAAGAGTTTTTTTTAATTATATAAAAAAAATATTAAAATTTATACTGTTCTGTAGAAATGGTGCCCAGGGTCTGGTCTGGGCCCCTTATGTCACAGGTTAAGTGTCAGTTAACTATGCTTAGCAACTGTTTATTATAGTAGATAAGTACAAATTCAACTATCCTTTAATTAAATAAATAAACAAGGAAATAAAGTTTCAGATAAAAAGTATTTAAATAAAATTTAAAATATCTTTTCCTCTCTGATAGGAAGCTTGTTGAAATAATTTGATTACTTTACCATAGTTTTTAGTCAAGTAAAATGTATAATTCAAGCTCTAACCTGAACTAAATTTGGATCAAATGAAAGGAAGTTTTAAATATTTACAAACTATAACAGTCTAAATTTATTTTAGTATACATTAAAAGGCATTTAACCTTTCTCACAAAAGAAATATATCCTACATCTACATGCTTCTTTAAATGGATCTGTTTAAAAACTGATATTACAAATAAAAGAATGACTACTTTAAAAATTCTCTAAGCAATTATAAATTTCTACTTAATATATTCTTCACTTTAATTTTTAAAGTTATGATTTTTGAAAAAATAAAAATTTAGAAGAAAATTTTATAATTCTTATAACAGAATTTAAGTTTCTTAAAACTATTATAAATATAAGAAATTGCTAATTATGATATATAAAATATTAGAAAAAATTATTGTAGAATAAGAAATATATTTTTAAAAATAAAAATTATAATTATCTAATAAACAACTTCATAGGTAAAATTGCATTAAGTATATTTGTAGTACCTTATTACTAGGCATTTTGGGTGATTATTTTCATAAGGAAAACCAAATAGTTTCTAACATAGTTTTGATATATTTTTATTAAAAGAAAGATGCAAACTAATATCAATCATCTTTTGTATTTATTTATTTATTTATGTACAAATAAATAAACATTAAAAAATGTCTTCTTCTTTCATATTTATGTTTTAAATTAATAACAATAAGTTTTAAAAAATGTTAAATTTGATTGTAAGAGACATTCAAAGAACATGAGAGAATAAATCAAACATAATAAAAAAAATTTAAATATTTGTTAAATCAACTTTTGATTTGATTTACTTTTCTGGTAAAAAATGTCTTCTTCTTTCATATTTATGTTTTAAATTAATAACAATAAGTTTTAAAAAATGTTAAATTTGATTGTAAGAGACATTCAAAGAACATGAGAGAATAAATCAAACATAATAAAAAAAATTTAAATATTTGTTAAATCAACTTTTGATTTGATTTACTTTTCTGGTATAGAAAGTATCCTTATCAAATTTATTTGACCTTAATTCATTTTTTAAGTTTTTCTTTTCAGCATTATTTTTTCTTTTCCATTTCTTAACAAATAGGTTAATAATTTCTTATTGTCTTTCAAATTATGCACGGAAAAACATTGTTTTCGGAATAAAGTAATTATACATGATTTATTATTATAGCATTGCAATTAAAATTTTCTATCTTTATTCAAGTGAGAAGTGATGCAATAACTTCTACAAGACTTTTTGTACGTTCCTCTCGATTTAGATACGCATCGTTGCTTCTTGATAAACTCCTATACACCGCTCAGAATATCTAAATTAGTATAGTTTACACCCGTTATAGAGTTTTAAATCTGAAACGAGAATTTTCGTAGTCATTTTCGACTGCGTAAATTTGACGGCGTTTTATGGGCCGTGGATGGCTAAGGATAGTGAGTGCTTTATGCCTTATAAATTCGCCAGTTTTAACTAGACGACGTGACGTCACCCAGAACGACACGTCGCACCCAAGGTCAGAATAAGAAAAACCAGATAGTCAACGTGTTAGATGTCTCATTAACTACTTTCTCTACATCTACTTCGATGTCATAATGCAATCCTTAACAGTGTAATAAAT